TAGTCCTTGATTTTAGTCCTAGGTCCTTGATCTACTTTGAGTTAGTTTTTGTATATGGAGTGATCTTGCTTGAGTTTTCTGCAGTTTCCCAATTTTGCCAACACCATTTATTAAAAAGGCTGTCATTTTCCCAATTAACAGATTTCTTCTCCTTGTAAAAAATCAGTTGTCCATAGGTAGATGGTCTGATTTCTGGGTTCTCAATTCTATTCCATTGATCTATGTATCTGTCATTGAACCAGTACCATGTTGTTTGGACCACCATGGCAGTGTAGTAGTATTTGACGTCAAGGAGTGAGATGCTTCCTACCTTGTTTATCTTTTTAAGAAGTGCTGTGCTTATTTGGGGCCTCTTTCCATTCCAAATGAAATTGGAGATTGCCTTTTCCATCTCTTTGAAGAATGGAATTGGTATTTGTCTTGAGATTGCATTGAATGTGTAGATTGCCTTTGGTAGGACTGTCATATTCACAATATTGAGCCATCCTATCCAAAAGCGAAGTATATTCTTCCATTTCTCCAGGTCTCTTTTTGTTTCTTGTAGTAATGTTTTGTAGTTTTCTTTGAATAGAATCTCTGTGTTTCTAGTTGGATTTACTCCCAAGTATTTAATCTTGTGATTACCTATTGTGATGGGTATTGTTTTTCTTGGGTCCAGTTCTGTATTCTCTTTGTCACTGTAGAGAAATCCAATTGATTTTTGTATATTGATCTTGTATCCTGCCACTTTGCTGAATTGCTCAACTATGTCCAGTAGTTTTCTTCCTGAGTCTTTAGGGTTTTCTAAGTATACTATCATATCATCTGTATAGAGAGATAATTTTACCTACTCTTTGCCAATTTGGATAACTCTTATTTTCTTCTCATACATCAAATACAATATTGAATAGGAGAGGTGATAATGGACATCCTTGCCTAGTCCCCATTCTCAAAGAGAATGCCTTTAACTTCTTTCCATTGAGAACAATGTTGGTTTTCAGGTTTGCATATATATTTTTTACTATGTTGAGGAAATTGTCCTCTATTGCTTTTTTTGTTGTGTGTTTTAATCAGGAAAGTTTTTGGGATTTTGTCAAAAGCCTCCTCTGCATCAATTGATAGGATCATGCTGTACTTGTTCTTTGCTTTGTTAATGTGATGAATTACACTGGTTGTTTTTCTTATGTTGAACCATTCTTCCATACCTGCTATGAATCCCACTTGGTCATGGTGAGTTATATTTTTTTATGTATCATTGGATTCTTTTGGCTAGAATTTTATTCAGGATTTTTGCATCTGTATTCATGAGAGATATTGGCCTATAGTTTTCTATTTTGGTGGTGTCTTTATACCTGGCTTTGGTATCAAAGATTCAAACATATGTTTGCTTTATAGAATGAGGCTGGGAGAACTCCATTTTTTTCTATTTTCTGAAATAGTTCATGTAAAATTGGTGACAGTTCTTCTCTGAATGTTTGATAAAATTCACTTGTAAAACCATCTGGTCCAGGGCTTATTTTGGCTACAAGTTGTTTTATTGCCTTTTCAATTTCTTCTTTCATAATGGGTTAGTTCGGGTTTTCCATTTTGGTTTCTCAGTTTAGGTAAGTTGTGAATTTCTAGGTATTTGTCCATTTCCTATAGGTTTTCATATTAGTTTGAGTATAATTTTTAATAATATTCCATTTAACCTTTTTATTATAGTTGGCTTTATTGTGACATTACCCATTCCATCTTTTACTCAGATTATTTGTGTCTTTTCCTTTGTTAACTTTGCTGGTGGTTTCTTGATTTTATTGATCTTTTTGAAATACCAATTCCTGATTTTATTGATGATTTCAATTGGTTTTCTGTTTTCTATTTCATTTATTTCTACTCTAATTTTTATAATTTCAGGTGTTTTTAGAGAGTGTCAGGTTTTCTTGATGTTCTTTTTTCAATTTGTTGGAGATGTTGGGTGATTTTTCCTGCCTTTTGATGTGCTTTTTATTGCTATAAATTGACCTCTGGTTACTGCTTTGAATGTTTCCCAGACGAAACTTTGGTAAGTTGTGTTTTCATTGTCATTTGCTTTAAGAAACTTTAATTTCATTTTTTATTTCTTCTAGTACCCACTCATGTTCAAGCAAGGCGTTGCTCAGCTTCCAAATATATAGATTTTTTTCTCCTTTATCCTATTGTTATTAATTTCTAATTTTGTCTGAGAAGATGTTTTGTACTCTTTCTATGTTTTTTAATTTATTGATCCTTGCCTTGTGACCTAGAATGTGATCTATTCTAGAGAATGTTCCATGCACATTGGAAAGGAAGGTATACTGTGCTTTTTTGGGGTGCATTAGCCTATAAATATCTATGAGATCATGTTGGTTTATTGTGTGGTTTAATTCTTTAGCATTTTTGTTGAGTTTCTTTTTGGTAGTTCCATCTTTTCTTGAGAGTGGTGTATTGAAGTCTCCAACTACTATAGTGGAGTTGTCTATTTCCTTTTTCAGTTTTGTTAATGTTTGTTTTATGTATTTTTG